TTTGTTAGTGCCCTTTAGTGAATATAACTACTCTGTCCATGGTCACGCAGCTAATGCATAGCAGGCCCTGCAGAGACCTGCTGCCTTAACCAAATGCTGCCTCCACAATTTAAATTGTAAGAGTTTAAAAATTGAATCACGAAGAATAGAAATGTGAGCGGTACAATAAGAAAATACTAAATAATATCCATACAAGTAGAAGTGAAGAGAGTCTAATGGAGCTAGTTGAGTATGAGAGGATGCCAGGAGAGCAGAAGACAAGGAGGGGAGAGGAAAGGAAATATCTGAGAGGGAAGAGGAGACTGCATAGTGCAAATTAGGAATCAAGGGAATAGATATTTTCAGGGGCAACAGTGTCACTGTGGTGTGAACAAGAGAGATGAGAATTGAGAAAAAGTCTTGGGTTTGGTTTTGGGGGGAGGGGGGCTTATCATCAACATTCCATGGAAGCCTCTGGAAGAAAATAGATACAAAAATCAGAGTGCATTGGGTAAATTATGAGTAACCATTGTCTCTAAGTTGCTAATTCTAGTAATAGAGCAGCCAATTGGGCAACACAGTGAAATAAGTGAGCTAGGCATGAGAGTAATAGGGAGTGAGGAGGTCTGTGGCAGACGGGAGGTCAGTAGTGCCTGATCTTTTGATTTCCAAAAAAAACCCCAAATCCCTATTTTTTTGGTGTGCTGTCTCCTGATCTCTAAATGTTAGTCTAATTAAAAAATAATAATATGCAGTTGAGACTGTAATATTTCTGTGGACTGAACTCAGCTTAACAACCATGAGCTCTTAGAATCTTTTAGCAGATATATAGAAGTGAAATGAGGAAGCATCTCAAAGAAGAAGCAAGATTGGGATGGTCTTGGATTGTGTGTGAGTGAGAGTGTGTGTGTGTGTGTGTGAGAAGATCTGCTGTGTGTGTGTGTGTGTGTGTGTGTGTGTGTGTGTGTGTGTGTGAAGATCTGCTTGTTTCTGTTTCCTTGGGCTGGTAAACACAAACTCACACAGGAGGCGCTTTCAACAGAGAAAGGTCCAAATACCAAAATACCAGTTGGAGAGGGAGGGAGGAATAGGATTAAGAGGCCAGTTATTTTATTTATTTATTTTTGTGTAGAAGAGTTGGAGAGTAGGCCAGAGGTGCAGGGGGTGAGAGGATTCACCAGACACAGAGTGGAGAGCAGAACAGGCAGGTGATTGAAATACACTGCTGAGGAGAGCAGCGGGCGAGACAGGAGAGGTCTGCTGTGCCATGTGGATTAGCTCCTTGGCTGGGGATCAGACTCATGCCATCAAGGTGATAGCACTGAGACTTAATCCCCAGGCCACCAGGGATTAACTGGCACAAGAGGCCAGTTATTAGAAGAGAAGACACAAGTGGAGTGATTGGAAAGTGAAGAGGGGAAGTAAGCTTACTTCCTCTTTTCCATTCAGGTATAGAGGATATGGTAGATGCCACATGGGGAGTCTAAAGCACCCTGAGAGATTGAGGAGCCTAGAAAAATTCTGTTAAGGACTGCTTCAGGACTTGGTAATAGCGAGAGTGTGGGATAATGAGAACTATGGACGAGCAGTGGGGGCCCAGCTGATTTTCATTTTCCTTTTGTTTCTAAGTGAGCATCTAATTATGTGACGCCACTAGGCACAGAAGGTACGGACTTGAGTAAGACTGGCTTGCCACCACCTAGAACTTATGGTCTCCCTTAGGGGCTGTAAACTCTAGCCTCACCCATGCGCTGGGTTCCCACATGTCCATTCATTCACTTGTTACAGCTGTCACTTTGCCATATCTGTGATTTATTGCTATGTTAAATTATTTACTCAATACTTTTCTTTAAATCATCTCATATATAAAGACAGATAAATGAGAAATAGAAAAAGGAAGCTCTATATCATTACTTACGTGGTTATATTGTAGTTTTTCCAAATGCGTATTTTTAAAATACACAAACAGCTTGACATTTTTGTCAAAAGTTCATTTGGATTTGACCTATAAAATCATCTTGTATATTATCAGTAGAACACCTACCATGGGTTGAAAAAGATGGAACTGGTTAATTAGTTGAGTTCTTTAGGTCATTTTGAGCCAGGGTTTTTCATGTTAGAATAACTGTAAATGGCCTTGGTTTTTATTCAAACAGGTCAGCTTCAGTGGCCTGATCTGAATAAAATGGATAAAGGCAGGCACCTCCTTGTCTGACAATATTTAAATTATGCGGTTTGAATACCAAGAAGTTTGGAGCTTAACTGCAGAACCTTCCAAATTAATCTAGTCTGGGAAAAAACTAAAATGCCATCAAGTAACAGGAGATTTGTCAGCTGCCCTGCTTACACTTTTCATATAAAATATAAAGGTTGGCAGATTAGAGATGAAAGGTCAGTTCACAAAAAGGAAAATATGTCAGACAATTTCATAACATAGTTAAAAGCAGGTGGAAGTTGAAAACTACTAGAGTCTCAGAAAGAGATGAGTTTGTTCGCAGTGTGTAAATATCACCGTGTTTCTGTGGCTGTTCATTTTCCTGGTTACTACTTTATGCTGAATCTCCAAAATTTGATTCAAACATATGGAAGAGGTCAGTCTTGCAAAGGGAGATTTACTTTGCCAGTTTTGCCTTTAAAAGACAAGCAATCAAACAAACAAAACACAACAGGGGCTTCCCTGGTGGTTTTGGGGTTAAGTCTCAGCACTGTTATCATTGCAAATGCCTGAGTTCCATCCCTGGCCAGGGAGCTAGCCCACCTATGGCGCAGCAGACCTCTCCTATCTAGCCCACTGCTCACCTTAGCAGTAGTACTTTAGTACATGTGCCTGCTGTACTCCCTACCATGTCTCTGGTGAATCCTCTCACCCCTGTACCTCTGGCCTACACCCCAGTTCTTCCTTGCAAAACTAAATAAAATCTTATAAAAAATTTTTTTAAAAAAATGGTCCAAAGAGGGCAAATGCATTTACTTTGCCCCATTTCCTGTCTTGCCTCTGCTATCCCAGAACCAAAGCTGTAAAATGGACCAGTGAGCAGTCAGGCTCCCCTTGCAGGAGCAGTGGCGCATGAAGAGTCCATCATCATGAATGATTAAAGGGCAGCCAGCAGCCACAGCATGACTTGGACAAATAGAGTTGCTCAGAGAGTCACACAGGCAAGACCCACCTTTGAACAGATTACCACCCAGGAAGACATGTTATCCCAGTCTGGCCTCAGAAGCACAGGTGAATCTGGGACACAGTATCAGGCCTAGGGGATCACAAAGCCATATTACTAGAGTTGAGGGGCACAGTGTGTACAATGCTGGGAATTTACAGCCCTTTCGATACAGCTTGTCATCTGTACTGTACGCATAGGGAATTGTGCAAATTGCCATCATTCTATGCATGTTGTTTGCAGCACACGTCACACTCCTGTTGCCTTATGCTTGTTCAGGTGATAAACTCAACATAAACACATATTTGAGAGGGGGCTTCCTATTTTCTATAAGCTCTTCACCACAGCCTTGCAAATAACGGAGGCCAAAGGCATCTCTCACAGGCTGGGAGTAGCCTAGGAGAGCCACTGACACTTGGCCATGCTGTTTTTGTTTCATCTTTCTGCAGTGTTATTTCTGATTGCTTTCTTTTCTCTCTTAAGCTTCAACATTAACACACTTTCTCTATGTGCAATTATACTACAGCTAGAAATATAGAAATTGAAAGCTACAGGAAAATCAGTAGCATTGTCAAACATATTAGGCCAATCCTGAAAACTTCTTTAATATCAGGAGATACATTTACACTGTGTGGCTGAAATTGTGGATTTCACCTTGTACTCTCTGCAGGGCTGAAATTCACACTGACCTATGACAAATCCCACCTCCTCCAAAATTATTTTCTTCCTTCTTAAGCTTTATTAATGAAATCAGGGACTTTGACTTGCTGGTAAAGACCAATTATTATAACAAGTGGAAGTAGTAACTTTATTCTTCCTGGAATAGCAGGAAACAATTTCATCTTGGACTCAGGAGTCTTAGGAAGCTGGAATCATAGACACTGTTTTCCCACTCTATCTCCCTTCAAAATGAAATGAAATGAAATGAAATGAAATGAGCAGCAGCCCTGCAGTGAGGCTTGAGGGATGGGTGATGACAAAAGAACAGAAAAGGGCATTAATTTCAGGTGGGGACAGCTGCCCAGTGCTATCTCCCTTTGGATTTTAGTTCTTATAACATCACGGTGAGTTATTAATATGTATGATCTGCACTTTATTCAAACATTATAAATCTATGCAGAAGTCTGGTGTTTGGGTTTGCCTTTATAGCTTTCATTCTTCTTCCCAGAATTATCTCATTTTGATCAGGAAACTTTTGCATAAAAAGCACACACGGAGAACACAAATTTCCATACCATAAATATTAAAAGGGGGTTAAGCTTTACAGTTTCTACTCCCATTGCAATGGGAGGAAAGTTGGCCTTCTAATCTGGGAAACCATTAATAATGTCTTTTTATTCACAAACCAGAAGGTAAACTGTAACTTGTAATATGAAATTATACTATAGAATTCCCTTCGTTCATGTAAATGTGGAGGATTTGGCTGCGCCCTGTCTTTTGTATGAGCACTTTACTAAAATCAAGCCGTTGTCTGAGTTGCTAATAGGTGGTTGGCTTATTTTTTGAGGACCAAACTAAGTCCAGACTTTTTTTAAGGGTTGTGATTAAAGTCCTTTTTCACTGGGTAATTATAAAGTATGGATTCATCACAATAAATGTGTAGCATACAGAAAAGGGAAATGAAACTCTAGAACTTAATGTCTTCTTAGTAGCTTTTTACTTCTTAGCAGCTTTCTATCTCTGGTTTATTGTCATTTTTGTTAGCATAAAGGAGTAGTCATAAATTTTGGTTCCCATGGAAATATAAAGGGCTCTGTGAGCTATTTCATTTGGGTATACTGTCTGTTAATCACACAGTCTCAACTGTTGTACTTCGTGATGGGAAATGAACGTGCTAATTGGCGCTCTTTTTTCTTATTTCAGGAAACCTGCCATATGAATATAAAATAGTGATTGCTGGGAATCATGAACTGACATTTGATAAGGAATTCATGGCAGACCTTGTTAAACAGGACTACTACCGTTTCCCCTCTGTGTCCAAATTGAAACCGGAGGACTTTGACAACGTTCAGTCCCTCCTGACAAACAGTATTTACTTACAAGACTCGGAGGTAACAGTGAAGGGATTCAGGATATACGGTGCACCTTGGTAAGTGCTCATTCATTACCCCCTCCCTTTTTTTTTTTCTTCAGCACTAAGAAAGCTGGGCACAGTTGTAGGGTGCCTTGAGGGGAAAGGATTAGGGTGGAAGGAAACCTTATTGCTGTATCTCCAACATAACACATAATCTGGCACTGCTGGGCCATTCAGGGCTTGTGTTCTGCATTGTGATGCAGATTTCTTTAGGCAAGACTAGTGGGGGTGGGACTTGGGTAACTATGTCTGTGTTTGTGTGCCTGGAGGCTGCATCTGCGGCTAAGGAGGAAGGCACCAGCTTATCCTTCACACCAGATTCTGTTACTTCAAACATTCCATCAGCCTTGGTAACTCATTTTCCTCTCATTCTACACTGGAGGCAGCCACAAAATAGCTTACTAGATTGGGTCTCGCTGCACATCACAGTCACCTGACCGACTCTGAAGAAATACAGATAATACAGATTCTGAACCCCTGAGATCCCTGATTCTCCTTCCTGAGGTGGAACCCAGCAATCTGTATTTTTTTAAGTACCCCAGATGAGGTTGATGTGTGCACAGTGTGAAAGTTACCACTGAGCGCTCAGGATGAGAATTCTTATTGCCGAGCTCTGGAAAAGTCACAGCAGGTCCATATTGGAGGGGCCAGACCAAAAGCATTTTGATCTTGGCCCCACCAGTTGTCAGCCTGATTCTGAAGCAGTTACCTCACAGAACTTGAATCTCAGTTTCTGCATCTCTGAGAGGGTAAGAGTAATACCCATTTTAGAGTGGATTTGGAAGAGTACCTATGGTTTCCTCCTCCTCATCATCATTTTTCTAGCTTTGGCTCTGCCACTAAGTATTTATGTGAACTTGAAATGGTCACTTTGCCTCTAAAGCACCCCCCCTTTAGAAATGGCTTGGATATTCATTTGTGTGCTTGTGTATTTATTTTCTAAGAGCTCTATTCTATATAGAAAGCAGAAGAACTAACTTTTATTCTCCCAGTCTGGAAAAGTACTTCATTCCTGCTTTAGGAGTTGCATGCAGGACTGGAAAAGGACAAGTAGAGCAAATTCAAATTTGCCATACCCACCCCACTGTTTGGTTGTCAAAATTACTTTTTGTAATTCTTTTTTTTTTGGCTTTCCTAGTTGATCTCCAGAAGGACTGATGAGTGGATATAAGATGTATATTTCTGTTTAAAATCAACCTGGCAATGCTAGTGAACACTCAATTGATGCCAGGCGCTAATCTAAGTCCCTCACATCTTCATCACAATAACTTCAAAATATTTTTAAGAGGTGGTATTTTGATTGAGAGAGAATTATGACCCTCATTTGGCATTTGGAAAATTTGGCATAGAAAGGTTAAGTAACTGCTCAAGAATCACATAGCTAATAAATGGTAGCTTCCGATTTTGAGTCGGACTCAGGGTAGAAGGTGTGACTGAGCAGTCATGGCAGTGGCAATGTGGTCATTGGTGGTGATAATCTGCAGTGGATGTAGCCAACTTTATGAATATATGTCAATTAATATTTTTTACATCCAAGAGGTGGTCAAGAGTAAGAGAATAAACAGCATAAATTCATTGTGCCAAACTGTAATCTAAATTAGCATTTCTGAGTAAAGAGCAGGAGATAGCGAGCTTTTCCAGCCTCCACCCACTTCTTCATTACACTGCAGAGGTGGACAGATGTCCTCTGACAGAGAGGCTTCACACAGAGTTAAGATCTTTTTTTTTTTTTTTTTGGTAACTTAACGATGACTTCTGAAAAATCTTCAGAGCGCAGGACATTTTAGGGCAATTCGTGAACAAGCAGGACTTTCAGAGATCACCAAATTGATAGTTGCTGAAATGATGGCAGCAAACTAATTTCTTGCATTATCTGAGCAGATACAATTCTGTTTAGGACAGGCATAGGCTAACTCAGATGACGGCTGTGATGGATGAGGGAATGGCGGCGGGTCCTGAGGCAGATCTTGCAATATCTCAAGAAATAAAAAAAGTCATTCAAATTTGTGATGTTTCTGATACAAGTTTTAAACAGTTTATATCCAAATTGGATTGATATCATTTTATATATATATATAGAGAGAGAGAGAGAGAGATCATTGATATGTATATATTGATATCATTTATATATATATATATATATATATATAAAAGAGGGTGGTAAATTTAAGAAATAGGAAGTATTAGTCTTATGAAATGTTATCCTGAAGTTGTCGTCACATATAATTTATTGGGGTTTCCAGAAAGTAGCGCTTCATGGTGAGGGACATCCTAAAGTAGAATTTCTCACCCATAGGAATTATTGGCATTTTGTCTTGTGGCCAAGAATACAGAAGTTGGCAAAGGGGAACTTTTGGTTTCGTCATATATTTTGGAAGCAGCAGTAGTTTATATCTCACTGTGAAGATATTTGTTAAAACCAATATTCCCAGGACTGCTGATAATTTCAAAATTGATTTAAGAATACCCACATTAGAATTTCTATGCAAGAAGACAGATGTTTCCAGCTTTACCATTTATTGAGCCCTGGGGCCTTGGGAAAGTTTTGGAAAATACGCATGCCTCCTTTTGCATCTGGAAGGTGGGAGATAACAATTTCCCTCACGTGACTGTTAGGAGGAAAAATGATATAATGTATCTGCAACATGTAGAAGACTTCTTGGCATAGAGTAAGCATTTGATCCGATCTACTCTGTACCTTTGTCCACCTTCACATGAAGACTATTGATTGCACTAGGACTTGGCTGGGGTGGGATCTAGCCCTACTATGGTCTTTGCTGACTGACACAAGGGGAATCAATTTGTTTCTTTGGACCAATGAGATCTACCTTTGTCTCTCTCACCTGCCATTCATTTAAAAGTTAGAATCTTGCCCACCATCCTTGATTATTTTAATACCTTGTACAGTTTTTTACATTCTTTCACTGTTAAACATTTGACTAGAAGCAAAGTATGAGGGCATATATAGCAGAGTGATCACTTTTCTCCCCTCAGAAATTAGTGTTTTTCCATTCCTGACAGTCAACTTGTGGTGAATGCTGCTTCATAATCCAGTGAATATTCAAAACATAAATTAAATAAACTGGTTAAGTTTGATTTTCTTGCTTTCCAGTGACTTGTATGAAGAAATACTAAGTTTCCAATTTGTTGATATTGTTAGTGATTTTAATAGAAAAGCAGAAATCCAAATATGAACCCCTACACTAAGGATTTTCATCCTGTCATAGATTTCTCAGAAGTCATTTTCATCAGATCAGGAAGATAGCTATAACTCATGTATTTAAAAAGGAATGTTTGTCATTTGGTTTCATTACAAAACAGGAATATTGGTGTGTTCATTGCATGTTTGTAACTTACAGCCCCGTGAAAAGTGTCCTAAAGACCAGAGACAATGAAAGCTGTGTTTCCTGGTTTTTACAATTTAGCAGAAATTTATATGGGAGACAATGTGCAACATTCCAGAACATTTGTGTATGTTGCAATGGAGTGGCCTGTGGTGCTTGTTAGATCCCCAAGAAAGAGGATTTGGAAGCATTATGATGGGTCTGGGCAAAATCAGTGGTCTACACTAAGGAAGTTCTAAGTGGGATGCCTTGGCCTGGAAGGAAAGCTCCTTCTTCAGGAGGAGGGCAAGAGAGGACAAATTCACAGGGATGCTACTTCCTCAGCAGGGCTACATGGCAGATTCTGTGGCTTCCTTCACCAACTCCTTCTTGTAAAAGTCTTGAAGAAAGGAATGTATTGTCAATACATAATGTATTGTCATCTTTGTGAGGAACAATTCAGTCATATCTTTGCTTAACTTCTCCATGTTATTTTTCCCTCTGCTTCTTTGGGAGATAGGAGCTAGGTCAGGCTGGGCTTTGGCTGTCACTTCGGGAGAGTGCCTAGGTTTCTTGTATTCCCCTCCACCAAGATAAGATGGCTGCTGGTTTCCTCTTTGTGATCATTCTGAGGTCTGCAGTATTTTTCCCAAAGGTTGAATATGGGTAGAAAATAATCTGTTAAATATTTGCTACTGTGGTAACTACTTGTCTGACCAGGGTGGAAGAGAGGTGGAACTTGGAAATCATCTTTGTAGCTTTCGTGACTGGATCTGTTGCCTGCATTTTAGTGTAAGCAGGTTTCAATAAACTCACTTGTGGGACTTGGCATTTAAAAGTCAGCTAATCTCTTCCCTTCAACTTCTCTTCTCTCTTCTCTTCTCTCTCTCTCTCTCTCTCTCTCTCTCTCTCTCTCTCTCTCTCTCTCTCTCTATGATTTCAGTTGCTCTTTTGAAAGCAAGATGCTGTGTAGAAAAAAAATCCAAACTAGAAGTCCATGTTGCTCTGATTTGAGCAAGCACTTGTGTGGTCAGCAGTAGCCTGCAGCTTGCCCCAGTTAAGACAGTAGGCAGAGCTGGGCTCCCGTGGCTTTTAATGAATATGAGTGGGGCCTTCCTATGTCCAGGAATTTGATCTCTAATGCTGACCGAGGGGTCAGGAACAAAGAGCATAGTTTTTCACATTAGAGTGGACCCAGGTGTAATTTGTCAGATTTAGTAATTTAGGAAGTGTCTTAACTTCTGCAGCAGGAAAATGAGATCAGGCCCAGGCTGCATAATTCTAAAATGGCTGAAATAGCAAGAGAAAGCTCCCTGAGTTGCATTTTCAAAGAAAGCGTGAGTAGGATATTTCCTCTCCTCCCCTCATTTCAGATCATAAACATGTTGAGTTCATTCATTCATTTAGACGTAATTTTCTCAGCCTCTTTCAAAGTGGGAGTTAAGTGTTGCTTCCTCTCTCAGCAGCAGTTAGGATGGTGTTTGCACACAAAGAGCCCCAAAGTTACTTGTGTCCTTGTTCAGATCAGGCCGTGGTCCTTTATGTTTATCCTGTCAGGAAAGCTTCAGATGTTTTTATTTCCAATTATAAGTTTTGTAATGCATCATGTATTTTGCTGACAGTCTTCAAGTTCTTGAAATAGCCAACAAATTAACAGCAGATACTGAGTAAGAGGATTAGAAAACCAATTGG